GGCTGCCCAGACCCCGCCCAGCTGTGCCCTTGGCAGACTTGGCTGAGGGTAGGAACTGGCACGCGGGTCCCCAAAGGGGCTTGTGAGCTCTCGCAGCCCTCCTGGTGGGACCTGACCTTGCAGCTTTGGCCTCCTGGCCAGCAGCAGCCTCAGGTGGGAGACACGACAACCCCAGAAAGACCCACTAATTCAATTAATTCGGAGAAGAGCAAGGAGAGGCAGAGATTGAGGTTGGAATCACGGAGGACCAGGCACCCACTCCGTGTGACTGGGCACCCCGCTATACTCTGGGACAGCTCAGGGTAGAGGTTGTGCACATCTGGACAGTCCCCATCCAATGCCATGCCCCAACTCCCTTCGCACTACTGGTGCATCAAGGTACCCTTTCCTCTCTCCTCAGAGCAACCCAAATTTCTCTTTCTAAATCAGCGAGACTAGGAAAACTCGGCTCTGGCATCTCTCTGTCCAAAATCTGATGCCTTCTTGTGAATGAGCCCAGCCCAGGGCTTGGCCTTCGCTCTTCCACTCTCCCCAGCCAGTGCTCCCACCTGAGTGCTTTAGGATCAAATTTCAAAAACAGAGCAGCCCTTCCAAGGTGCCAGCTCCCATGCTTAGCACTGTTCACCCAGGGAAACTTCACGGAGAAATTATGAAGCTACAGGACTGAAAAGCAGAAACCACCTCAGGACTCAGAACTAGGACAAGACTGTAAGATTTCTCATCCTCTAGGTGTCACCTCCACTCTGGGCCTCTGGCCAGTAGCGAGCTGCCCCAGCCCAGAAAGAAGGAAAAAAATAAGTACCCTCCCACTTCACCCTCCCTTCATGCAAACAAGCTTTCCCCTTGGGCACATTTGGAATCCTGGGCCGCCCTTTTCCATTGTCCTGTGGGTGCTTAGGTGTGGAGCTCAAAATCCAGGCTGGCCAGGCTTGGCCTGTGCTGCCTCTTGGTCGGGGGCTCCATATCGTCCTTGAAAACTGAACTGTGGAATTGAGATCCATCCTTCATCATAGTGTCCTCTTGAAAGCAATGGAGTCTCCTAGGATTAAGTGACTTCCTGTTAAATATTCTGGAGGAAAACGAGGAAGAAAACATTGTGCAAAAGGGAATGAAATCTTTGACCTCTGCCAGCAAATCCTGTATCCACCTGCTGTGGACTCATGAAAGAGAAAGTCAGAAGCAGGCACAGCCCAGAGGAGTAACTGGCCTACAAAGGCTGCCCTGTTGCTGACCCTCATGGAGCCCAACTTTCCCACTTCCCCCAGTGGTTTATTGGGCTTTCCCTCCACCACCACCCCTTCCAGGGTGATGAAATCAGAGCTGCAATTTCACTGGGGGTCATTGGCAGTCCTGGCTGAGGTTAGAATGACTAGAGAGAAGGCAGTAAAGACTTCCCTTCCCTTTCCTGCCAGATGGGCAAATAGCCTGCACTCAGAGATCTCTTTTTCTCTATCATTTCCCAAAGGCTGGAGAGGGACGAAGGAGGAGAAAATCTAGGGGTAAAATGCCCTTCTGATTGAATGGGGACCCAACCGGCAGTTTGGCAGCCCAGGAGTTGATGTGAACCGGCGTGGGGGAGCGCTTGGAGATCCTGCTGCTCAGGCTAGGGTGAGAAGGGCGTCTGTCCTCTTCCTGCCTTCTCCTCCTGCCCCCTCCCACACCACGCCGGCCCCTTTTCACCTCCCCCTCCTTCTGTTCGTAGAGCTTCTCCAGGCTGTGCCGGCAAGCCGGGAGAGCGAGCTAGAGAAAGAGATCTGTGAGGGGGCGTTTGGGGCCGCGTGTCCGTGCACATCTTCTTCTCCTGCTCATCTCGCCATCTCGCCAGGGAAGTTAAGTGTTGGGAAGGAGGGCGGTGGGAGGATGGAGCTAGCCAGAGTACAAGGAGTGTTGGGGGAAGGGTCAGGAGCCGGGAAGTCGGAATGCCGCTGCTGGGGTGTCTTCGAGAATTCCCTGGAAGCCAGGAACTCCAATATCCCTGCCCTAAAAGGGGCTCTTGTGCCCCATCTGGATGCGACCACACATGCAATGGCCGAAAAGGGCCAGCAACATTTTTTTTCCCCTGTAAGGGGCTCTGGAATATATGGCTGCAGAAACAAAGTGGAACCGCATGGGATAGCTGGAAAAGCGATGTGTAGAAGTCCATGGTCTGGCCAGGGGAGCCACGTGGAGGGGTCCTTTGCTTCGGGCCCCAAGCCACCTGGATCCCGCCCAGCCCCGGAGTTCAGACCGAGTTCTGGAAAACCAGCTGAATGGGAGAGAAGCCCAATTAACCTTGCTTCCAGGGCAAAATGAGAATCAGGCCTTGGGATAGTTTCCTTTTCTCTCCAATTGCTCCTGCCAGGCCAGGCTCTACACCATGCATGGACCAGAATTCTTCAAGTTAGGGTGTGGTATGGGCATCTTGCTCCACATTCCCCACAAGAAGTAGAGTGGAAAGAAGATGGGCCAACTCCTTAATCTCAAGGATAGAAGTGATTCAGAGGTCTGTAAGATCCTACTTAGTAGCTAGCCTCCCACAGAGATGAATTCCCGTGACAAAGGGCTCACTCTGGAGAGGTAATCTCAGAGAATTCCAGTAAAAGAATTCCTACAAAGTCTTTGGGACCATCTCCTGACAGGAGAATCATCGTGAGAGGACTTTGGGAAGGGCCATATGCTGTGCTGCTTTTGGAGGAGCCTCCCTTTGCAACCAGGAGACATACTGGACAAGAATCAGCACCTCTGGAGCGGACAGCTCCAAGAGCTCCTCTTAGTCCACGGCTGCCTGGTGACTACAACAGACTAAACAGTTGAGGATGAATATTAAGGCAGCCACTGAATTCAAGTTCAGCATAATCTGATTCACCCTTTGGCTTTAGGACTTCCTACTCACTACCTTTCTCTATCCTGTGAGGAAGATCTCATTTGGAAATCCAGGATCTAATCCTGATGTCTGATTTCAGTCCAACGATACTACACGTGCCTCATTTCAGCCCTAAAATAAATGAGAGTATTTTAGGAAAAGCAAGTAGCATCAGGGACTCCCAGCTGGGGGACTCCTAAGTGTATCCAGGCTTTGGGATGGAGATCTTTGGGACTCAGACTCCTCTCCTAGTATTCCAGGGAAAGGATGTGTGAGGAGCGGGAAGAGGAGGGAGAGAGATCTTCTCAGGGAAGTCTACAGAGCACCTCTGCCTCTGAGGTTCTGAGAAAAAGAATTGTGAGGACACTTTGCCTGAACAGGAGTGTCTTCCTCAAGGCCTTCATTCATCCCCATCCTTTAAGGGTTTCCTTAGTCCCGAATAACACCAGGAAGAAGAAGATGTATCCAGTTATGCATCGGGAGTTTCTGCTGGCCTGCTCACAGTCAGGTCAGGCCCCAATCTAACCAGGTGGCCTTCCACACTCAGTCACCCCACAGACCTCCAACCACATCCACACCCCTAAAAAAAATGTGAACATTTCTGAAGCCAAAATAGTCAATCCCTCCACCAAAAATTCACTGAAACACAAACGTAAGATGGAAAGGGGATTTCTTCCATTAATACATTATCCTCGTGACCTTATAATCTGCTTAAATTTAAAAATATCCCTGTCTGGCTCAAATGATTCTTTACCCACTTATTTCTTGCACTAGTGAGCAGAGAGTTGCCAAATGACAAGCTGTTCCTGCCTTAATCAGTAATGGAAAGATACTTTGTTTTTGAATGAGGTAACAATTTGGGGGAAGAAGGAGTGCAAGTAGACAGTGCAGTCATGCTAGCATAGTGCCTGTGTGCCTCTCAGCTGGGCATCTGGGAGGGGCAGCAAAATGTAGCTGTACCCTCTGGGTGTGAGTGAGGGACTTGTAGTCTGGAAGAGCCACCCAGAAATGTCCAGGGTCCCTCCCTCTGGTCTCTGAACTATCACTTGCCACTCCACCTCCATTATCCCAGCCCCAGCTCAACCCTTCCCCTCCCCCCCCCATAAAAGGAGGCTACCGTGAGAAACCGGGTCTGTATTTGCATCTCATTTACATAAATATTTATTAATCGTCATTAAACTGAACAGAAACACGCAATGCACTTCGGGTGTCCGACGGGAGTCTCATCTTCACTACAAGAAGAAGGTAAAATTGCGTGTGTGGGGGTGAGTGTGTGGGTGTATCGCCTGTGGGTTTGCATTTTTGCATTGTGTGTTTTGGGTGCTTGAATCCCTGGCCCCTCCTGGGGAGAGGTTCACCTTTTGTCCCTTTTGCGGAATACCTCCAGAAGGAGCCCCTACCCTCCTCCCCACCCCCACCCGCAGGCAAAAGCCTGGAGAACGTCTAGGGCAAAAAGTAAAACCTTCTCCAGTCACCTGAAATCACCAGGCGCCTGGAGCCCACCGAGGCACGACCAGACAGGGGTGTGGCTTCCCCCAGGTCTTGGTCCCCACCGCTTCAACCCGAGGGGGGTGATGGAAGTGTGAGGGAGGGGGGAGGAGGAGCCATCAAGCTTACCTCCTTCTGTCCCTGGACGCCCCACGCTTCGGAACCTGCGTGTGCGTGCGGTGTAGTGGTGTGGTGTGGTGTGTGCGTGCGTGTGTGTGTGTGTGTGTGTGTTTCATGCAAACCCTCCCTCCCCAAACCGACCCCCCAACAGTTTGCCATTCCATACAAATTTGGAAACAGGTTTTTAAAAAACAGTATGACGCACAACGGGGACGGGGCGGGGGGAGGGCAGTGGCATTGGGGCCCCAAATCTCCGAGTCACTGATTGTAAGAACCTGGGGAGGGGGAGGGGGCGGCGCAGGCCCCCAGTTCACCAAAGTGCACAGATCCGCGCTTGGGCGGGGCGGCCTGCGGACCGGGAGGGGCATCCCGGGCCGGGCCGGGCCTCTAGGCTCAGTCAGAACCTCCTTGCATAGATATTTGTGTCTTTATTATTGGTAGTAGTAATTTTTTTGCCTTTTATTGCTTCTAAAAGTTCTTACTGCGTTTTCTCTCCAATCCGGACTCTGAGTTCGGCCTCCGTCGCCTCTTAGCCTTTTAATTTTTTTAATTTTTTTTGTATGTTTGTTTGTTTAAAAAAAAAGGAAAAAGGGAAAAATGGGTTTTAGTTACAAATTGGCTTGACCTCTCTCTCTCTTTCTTTCCTCTCAAACCACATCCCCTCCCGCCAAAATTAAAAATCGCAAAATGCGGAGACTCGGGTTTGGGGTGAAGGCAGTCTAGGCCAGGGCTTGAGCTCTTAGACTTCTGCCCTCTTCAAGAAAGAGGGGGTACCCCGATCCTTTCGACCACGGCAGCACGGTGATGGTTTTTAAAATAACAATGAGAGAGGAAACCCCGCGTCCTCAGCTCCACTGCCCTCTCACCCACGCCCTTGGTCCTGCTTGGAGGAGAAGGAGGGGAAAACCTAAGAAAGATGTTAGGAATGGGGAAGGGGGGTGTCTCCAGGGAGCGCCCAGAAAGAAGAGGCCCCTAGAGAAGAACTTCCTGGGAGAGAAGCGGAGGGAGCCCCTGGGGGAAGAGAGAAGGCGAGTCCCCTGGGGGAAAACGAGGCCCCTGGGACGGGCCACCCACAGGTAGATCGCGCTGCCCCGGAGAGTGGCAGGATGGGCCGCCCGCTCCCCCCACCCCGTGGCCGGCGCCAGAATAGGTGGGGGTTCTCTTGCACTCAATGGGGGCTTGGGGCGCGGAGAGGGGGGGCGGGCAAAGGCAAAAGAAAAATAGAAAGGGGTCGGCGGCGCGAGGTCTCAGTTATGGAAAAACGCATTGAGCTCCTCGTACATGGGGCCCCGGTCGTGGTGAAGGTGCATATCGTAAGACAAGAGATTCTCCGAATGGACGCCCCCTCGCACAGCCGACGAGCCGAAGACCAGCCCGTGGCCGGTGGGCCGCGACCCCGGCAGCGCCGAGTAGTGCATAGAGTAATGGTAGCTCTTCTCGTGGTCGGGCGATGAGTCCTGCTTGAGGGAGAAGTTGCCATTGAGACAGAGCGGGGGGCTGAGCGGGCCCTCGTACTCGGAGCTGTTGTAGTCCGGGCTCGCGCCGCCGCCGCCCGCCGCCGCATACAGCGTCTCGTAGGCGGCGCAGTAACCGTGGGTCCGCAGGGCGTGCGCCGCGCCGCCGCCCAAGCCGCCGGCTGCCTGGCACTGTGCGCCGGCCAGGCGCGAGCACGGGTACGGGTAGGGGTGCATGGCGAACGGGCCGCCGGAGCCGTGGAAGCGGCCCGCGCCGTCGGCGCCCTGCTCGGTGAGGAAGTTGCGCGAGTTGAGCTGCAGGCAGCCGGCCACCAGATTGGTCGTGGGCTGGGACAGACCCTTGCACAGAGTCTGCACGTAGGACACCAGATCGGGCCGCTTTCCGGAGCGCAGGATCTCCGAGAGCGCCCAGATATAGTTCTTGGCTAGGCGCAGCGTCTCGATCTTGGACAGCTTCTGCGTCTTGGAGTAGCAGGGCACCACCTTGCGCAGGTTGTCCAGCGCGGCGTTCAGGTCGTGCATGCGGTTGCGCTCGCGCGCGTTCGCCTTCTGCCGCCGCAGCTTGGAGCGCTCCAGGCGCGCCTTGGTCATCTTGCGTTTCTTGGGCCCGCGTTTCTTGGGCCGCTCGCCTTCCGCCTCGTCCAGCCCTTCTTCCTCCTCCTCTTCCTCCTCCTCTTCGCCCCCCAATTCGCCTTCCTCCTTGACCTCGGCCAACGTGGCCTCCGGTACCTCTTCTCCACGGAGGGTAACTGGCTTGGCGGCCCGAGCGGGCCCCGGAGCCCCCGGCCCGGGCGCCGGCGGTGGCTGCGGCTGCGGCGCGTCGCCCTTGTCGCTCCTCGGCTCGTCGTCGTCGCCGTCGCCCCAGCTGGCGAACTTGGGCACATCGGAGAGGAGGCCGGGCTCGCTGAACAGGCGGGTCAGCATGGTGCCTGAGGGTGCCCCGGGGGCGGGAAGGGGAGACAAGACAGCACAGAGTGAGGGGCATGCGAGGGTCAACGAGGGCCTCCCCCAACCCGCCTCCACCCCAAGACTCCTGCGGGTTCCTACCAGGGGGGCCCTGGACGCCCACCTCCTCCGTCTGCCCCGCCCAGAGCCGGCCCAGCCCTGCGCGGGCTGCCGGCCCGGGATCTCGGCTCAGGCCCTCTCCCCAACGCTGGGCCCCGGCTCCGCCCCTCGTATGAATGGGGGGCCGCTCGCGACGCCCTGTTCTTCTCCGGGGGTCAGTGCGGGGGGTCGGGTGGGCGGCTAAGGGACAAGGTATCTTCGCTGTCAGGGGAGGCGACGCGCTGTCACGGAAAGCCTCATCTCTCCGGGAGAAGGAAGAGAGGCTGGGCGCGCGCGGGTGGGGACTGCTGCCCCGCTCCGCTCCCCGGCTCGGCTCGGCGGCCCGGGCCCCTCCGTCCCGCTCCCCCACCCCTCCCACGGCTCCCAACCCCTCGCTCCCTAATCCAATTTGCAAGTTGGCCGCGCGCCGCTCCCCCCACCCCCCCCGACTCGGCCCTCACCCCCGCAGCCCCAATTCCAGAGGCGGGAGAACGGGGCTCCTCGGGCCCTGGCGTCCCCGGCTCCCGGAGCCGGCTCTGGGCGGTGAGGGCTGAAGAAGCCGGGGCGTGGGGAGGAGGCAGAGCAGCGAGCCCCGTCCGTCTCCCCTGCGGACAGGGACCCCCTTCCCCCCTTCAAACTGCCTCCCTCCCACACGGCTCTTCAGATCTCGTTGTATTTCGGGATTGATGGGAGAAAATCCAAATTTGTTTGTTTGCTTCTCTCTCTTTTTTTTCTCTCTTTTTCTTTTGCTTTTATTTTTTCCTCTCTTTTTTTGGGGATAGGGAAAGGTCGTGGGTTTCTTCGGGACAGCCATGGGAGGGACCCTATCTCGGGCTCTTTACACCCCCCCCCACCTAGATCCTGCCTCCCACCCACCCAAGTCCATCGCGGGCAGAATGCCTCCCTCTGCAGCCCCAGGAGCTGCAGCCCCCCAGGGGTGAGAGGACCCGGGGCCCCTCCGATGCCCACCCAGTGAGGGGGTGCCATCCCGGGAAGGGAGGACTGGGGAGAGGGAGACGCTCGCGTCGGCCAAAACAGCCGCTCCCCCCTCCCGAACGGCGGGTCAGATCTAGCTCCCTTTCGGACAACTTACCTCAGAGAGGAGTCAAGGGGAGAGGGGAGGGGAGGGGGGAGGGGGCAAGAGAGAGAGGGGGGGAGAAGAGGAATCTTCTCGCTTATTTCATTGTTCCCCCATCTTCTGGGAGCGGGGGCAGCGGCTCCTCAAGGCGGCGGGCGCCGGCGTCTTCAGAGCGCCATGCGAGCCGCGGAGCGAGTGTGGCATCTCTACCAGGCGGGGTACCAGCCTCTATGCCAGGCCATATGGGCTTGGCACGTCACGGGCAGCAGCTATCACATGAGAGACGGTGATTGGCATGCGTCTGCATTGGGGGAGAGCCGGCTCCCCCGGGACCCGCCGCCATCTGTCACTCTCTACTCCAAAAAAAAAAATTAAATAAATAAAGGAAATAAATAAATATCTCTGCCGCCCTCCCCTCCCCGCCCAACGCAGGGGAAGCAGGGATTGAGAGGGAGGTGGGAGGAGTTGCCCCCCCTCAGATATAGAGCCCCCCCACGGGAACAATGGGGGTAACAAGGCTGGAAATTGGGGTGAGTGGTGGCCACCAAGTCCATAGCTCCCTCCACGGTCCTTACTCTGTCCAGTTCCTCTCTTGAAGGCCCCCAAGGTGGGTCAGGACCCAGACTCTGGGGTGTGAAGAAGGGACCTCAGTCCTTGCCCCCACTTCCCCAGGAGGGTCCCCTCCACCACAAAGGGACAGCTGAGGCCCCCTTCCAGGGTGGGCGTGGGGGGTGTCCCTGGCCCAAGTCCCATAGGTAGATGTTGGCACCATGCCATCCCTCATCCTGTCTGCCCCTCCCCCACCCACCCTCACGCACACACAACATATGTGGCTGAACGAAATTCAAACCAAGGGAAAGACAGAGAAAGGGAAAGATTTGCTGGATGTCTGTGCCTCTGCATGGGCGTGTGGGGTGGTGTGTGTGTGTGTGTGTGTGTGTGTGTGTGTGTGTGTGTGTATCTGTGGGGACATGTGTGTCTGAGAAGTCGGCAGATAAGAGATGTTTCCTTGAGTGTCAGAAGCATATGTATGTTGGGGTTGGAGTGGGGAGGAGATAAGCCTATGCCCCCCCCCCCATCTTGAGCTGGAGGAATGGGATCTATACTGAATTTCCAACCCAGGAGAGCGCTTTGAAGCCCTCCTCCTTACTTTCCCCTCTACCTGCCAAATAGGTGACTATACTCTATCTCCTGGCCTCTGACTTGGTTGGTTGTTGGAGGGAGGAGGAGGGGACTGGCTGTGAACTGCCTAGACTTCCTGGATGAAACTCAAGCATTCTCCTCCTCCTGAAAAAAAAAAAAAAAAGTAAACTCACTGAAGCTGAGCCCAGAAGTCCAGAGTGACCAGGGGGAGGTAGGGGAGACAGGTGTCCTGAAGAAGAAAGGTAGAAAATGGCTACTTTATCTTGCGATTCACCTTTCAACCCTCTTGCTGGGCTAGACACAGATGTAAATGGCAATTTGAGGGAGGTAGCAATACACACACATACACACACGCACACACACACACACACACACACACACCTGTTCCTCATCCTGGGAAAGTGGGGGCAAGGACTTAAGTCCCTCCTCACCCTCCAGAAAAAAAAGATATACACCCTTACTCAGATGACATGTGTCATGGGCCAGAGCCAGGCTGTGATTGCCAGCAAGATTGTAGAAAGAACCCTTGCCCACACTACATTTCAGACAATCGTGTGTTTCGGAACTGAATGTCCTGCCCTTTCTTGCCTCTTCTTACTTGTGCACACCCAACTTTCAGCATACACATTCAGACATCAGTCATGTGCTAAGCACTGGATGGTGCAAAGAAGAGCAAGAGCCTGGCTTTTCTCTTAATTTGGTGGATGCTTTCAATTCTCTCCCAGGAGAAGCCTTCAGAGGGACTCAGGGGCAGGGGAGACATGGACTCAATGTTGCAGACTGAACAAGGTTCCACATGGAGCTAGATGCACACTTCAATCTAGAGACCTGGGAAAAGGGGGTGCTGGTGCTGACTGGGACTTTTGGAGGCCAAAAGCTGAAGAGGGCTCAGAATGAATGGCAGGGAACAGATTTGCCTAAGAAAACACAGGTGAAGGGTGAACTGAGTCTAAAACCAGTCCATGGCTCCTTCAACAATTCCACAATTACCTTGGTGGTCTCCAAGGATGTAAAGCACTTCCTGGGTCCTGTACCTGGAAAGGTGAATCTTACCTGTAGTGGTTAAGTCTTAGAAGTTCATGACATGGAAAGTTAAAGGATGGTTCTTAGACCGGGCAGAGACTCAGGAGGGCTGGCCAGATGTCTAGCCCAGTGACCTTAGTGTCCCGTAGCAGAGTCCTCAATGCTGATGAGTAGTAGCCCCTTTTTTAAAATTCCCTGGCCACATGGTATTTTTGGTTATGTGTACATGCTCCACGCTTGTGGTTCCAAGCCAACTCAGCTCACCATCAACTTAAAACAAAACAAAGCAATGCTGCATACCAGACTAGGGATGAGGTTGAGAGGTAAAGAGCTGGCCTAGCCAGCACAAGGCCCTGGCTTTGATCCTCAGCACTACCAAAAAAAAATGCTGAATGCATTGATTGAGCAAGTTCCATAACTTTCCTCAGCCTTGATTTCCCTGTATGTAAAATGGGGATAATTGTACTGCTGTTAGCGCTAAGGAGAGTAATATACGTAATGAGCTGAGCACAGGGTCAACATTATAATGAGCCTTCAGTGAATGCTAGCTCTTATTTTTATTAAGACACTGTGTAAATGGCAAGCAGGCTTTATAATAGTAATTTATTGTACATAACTCCCCCCACCACAATATTCAGTAGGCTTTGTCTACATAGAAACTAAAATTTTGCTAAATGAATGGCTGAATTTATGGATGAAGAAGTGAACGAATGCTTTCTTGGGGGGACAAAGATATAATCTGACTTCCCCTTACCTCTGAATGCTTGGTTAAAACCTCCAGGGGTTAACTCCCAGACATCTCCAAACTGGAGACAGAACCCTGCTCACGATAAGAAAGTCCTGGTGAGGTCTTCCCACCCTTTCTGCCCTCTGACAGGATAAACTCTGCTGTCCCCCCAAACCTCCCACAGAAGGAGGCTGAGTTGGAGAGCCACACCTGGGGTAAGTACAAAATGTCATCCCTCTGGACCTGTTTCTTGCTCCTGTCTTTTCTTCCTTCAGGAAAAAAAAAATGGAACAAGTTTTTCTCACTCGACACATTTCAACTTTTTTTTTAGAAGATACAATAAAAACCAGGGGGAAACTGGAACAGAGGGAGGTGTGAGCTGGGCCTGCCTCAGACATGAGCTTGAAAGAGGTACAACACGTGTGTCCATGTACACAGAAGCAAGCATGAACACACAGGGACATGCGCATTGCTCTCTGTGCTCCTGGAGATGCAGAGATGCCGTGACAGAGACAGAAAGAGCCAGAAATGGAAGGAAGGAGAGGAAAGAAGGACACCCAGAGATCCCATCTGTTCCTCCCCATGGCATTGGAGGAAGGGAGTTGGTAAGGGGCCTGGTCCCCTCTAGGTCTCTGAGAGGAAAAAGAAGGTGGGGGAGGGGGAATGGAGCACCTCAGCCAGGTCTAGAAAAACCCTATTCCTGCTGCCTACTCCTTAGAGAGGGAGCAGAGAGTCGGGGGGGGGGGTCTGAGGTTCCCATGGAGACATAGCCCCTTCCCAAGGGAGGCCACAGTCTGGGCACCTAAAATGGCTGCTTCAGAGGGGCGACGGCCATTTTGTACAGTCTGGACCCTGAGGGGCAGGGTTGATGTGGTTTGGAGTGTGGACAAGCAGTAAAGAGGGAGGAGAGGGCACGGGTCATTTCTGAGCACTCTAGGGGACTCTTGCTCTAGGGATAGTAAGAATGTTCTAGAAATGCTCTTATTCCTCTCCCTCCTCCCAAATAAATACAATCCACAGGGAGTCTTTAACTGTTCCTCTCCATTCTGACACCCAGAAGGACAGTCAGCCAGCTACTTCCTCACCCCCACCACCCAAATGAGACAGCGTGGGCGAGAAGACTTTGACTTTTCCATCACTGTTGCCAAGCTGGGGGAGCAGGTGGGTCAGACCTAGGTGTCCACCCTCTGGTGCGCGCAGCTGGCTCTGCATCTCCCTGGGCCTCCCAGGGAGGGCAGGCAGGTGAGAAGCCAGAAAGGAACAGGAATATGCTGAGAAGGGGTCCCTGTCCCTCCAGAGATGTGGGGTAAGGTTGCAAAGATGCTCAAAGGTCCCAAGTCCCTGGCATTCTCTGCAGTATCGGGGAAGGTGGGAGGGGCAGCCTGGCACTGCCCAGCCAGTGCCCAAAGCTGCTCCTGAAGCATCAGAGCACCTGCCATCACTTTTCCCAGCCCCCCTCCCTCCACCTCAAGTCCAAGGGATGCTGGGGGAGAGGGACCTGCAGCTTCCTCCTGGCTCCAGGGTGGGCACCTGCCCTGCTGCCCCCTCCCCCGCCCGCCGCAGTGTGCCGGGGAGCGGCGGGCACGCCAGATGGCGTGGCTGAGAATGCGGCGACGTTGCCGGGAGGTGAGGGCTGGCACGGGTGATATGCGGCTGCGTGCCTTGTGGTGCCACGGGGAAGGGGGAGGGGAGCCTGGTGAGGTGTAGCACCCCCCCCTCCCCACTCCTCCCAGCCGACCTCCTGTCCTGACCTCCAGCTCACTATGAAGATTCATTCTTCTGGAATCTTCCATTGCCTACATCCTGGGCTCTCACTCTGGGCTTTGATTCCACTGCAACCTGGGTGGGCCGGGCACCAGCCCAGCCCAGAGTCCTGAGTCAGGCCACTGTGGCCTCCTTGCCCTCCCCTCGAGCCAGGACAAAGGCTAGATGGAAGACAGGCTAGCCCTCCAGCTCAGCTACCCTGGTCAGGCCTGTGCCCTGTTCCCAAAATGGAATGACCTTTGATCCCATATCCTTGACTTCTGATCTCTAAGCCCGGTTGCAGGAAGAAGGCCTTCTCTAGTGGACGCGGATTGCTGGGTCTTCCTCTTGTCCAGTATCCTCCTTCCTTACCAAGATACTTCCTAGACACTTCCTTCCGGGAGTCCCCCCTGACCTCCCCGCGGGCGGCACTGGTCACCTAGGAAGAGTCACTCTCCCATCTGTTCCCGGCTTTGTCCCATGTGCCTACTCCTTGTGATCTGTCTAGCCGGGAGCTTCACCCCCAACTCCCTGCATGGGGACTGACTGATCCAAGTGTCTGCTGCACTAAC